GGGGGGGGGGGCGTAATAGCGTGCCTTAGCTGTTAGGCCACGCGTCCTCGAGACGGGGGGGAGGGGCACGCATGCTGTAGTCGTCGTTAATAGACCATTGGCCTCGCAGCCGGGATTCGGAGCGATATGCCGGGTTTTCGCCGGCCCAGGCCACGTCTCACAGGGATGAACCAGGGGGTGTTCGTCATGCGTGTGTGTGGGGGGTTGTGCGTGTGATGTTGCAGGAGGGCATGTTACGTGTGTCAACACAGGAGGAAGAAAGACGAGTGGAGGCGGTGGTGGCGGTGGTGGCTGAAGGAGGAAGCCAACGCTGCCGATAGGGTATCGACGAGGAGGCGTGCCTGCCGCGGTGAAGCTCCGTCGGTGCGTCCAGTAGAGAGACAACGCCACCAGGGATGATGCTTGGGTTGTCTCTTCTGTACCGTAAGAGGCGGAGAGATGGCACCGCCCCCTAGACCGACTTTCAAAGCTCCATTACAACCAAGCACCAATAATGGTGGTTCTGTAAACATATCGTCGAGGCCTTTCCGTAGGCGCATCGGGTTCTTTCCGCGCCCCCTTGGTTGTGGAGCAATCGAGCTTTGAAAGTCGTTGTAGGGGGGGTGCCATCTCTCCGCCTCTTACGGTACTTCGTAAGCCTTGGCATGCTAGAGCGGCTCCAAGCGTCAGGAGGACAAAACAGCAACAACAAGAAAACCGCCATCACTACGTCGTAAACACGTTTAACTCCTTAGGGGCACTTACTGGAACCACTGGGCCTTGTTTACTTAGCTCGAATGGCTACGGCAGGCGTTAAAACTGTTCGAAGCTCAGGGGCAGGTCAGAGATTGGACAGGATCAGTACCGAGTGTTTTCGTCTTCGAAAACGACCTCACAGACAAGCAGGCAAGGCTAGACAGCGGAACACAGACGAGGAATGCTTGACATCGAAAAGCCCACGCGCGTGGACTACCTAGTATACACACAGCAAACACACGCCGCGTTGCACAAGTTGCCGCATCGGTGGGACCGATCTCACATTCCTCCACATACCCCACAGCACGAACAGGACAAGTTTCTTTCATTCAGAGCTTCCCTGACAACCATCGTTCTTCACCAAATACCCCCACGTCATTGTTGTCGGAAACACCGACCATTATAGAAAATCGATTGATATCAGGGGGAGGGGTGATACATTTACACCACGGAGACCCCAGTTATGATCTCCTCACCGTGTCCATGATAGCTTCCAGGGTGCCCGACACCGGCGTACGGAACAGGTGCGGCAGGTGTAGCTTGGCACTCACGGTGTGACCCTCCTGGCCCTTGATGGGGCTGTTGTAGCCCACGTCCAGCATCTCCCCGTGCCCGAGCGGGTTCCGCAGGGCCCCCGCCACAGAATACCTGGGACGGAAAAACCGGTTCCACAGACGGGCGGTCAGCGTTCAGGCGGTGGCGGTGGCGGTGGCGGTGGTGGTGGTGGTGGTCAGGGGACGTGCAGGATGAAACCCTGGGTTCCTCCGGTGGATTGACTCAATAACACACAACCATTTCCCGCCAAGGACAGGAGTGGAGGGGGATCAGCGAACAACAAACGTGTCACCTGTCTTTACAGCAAGCAGGCGAGAGCTTGATCACTAGCAGTGGTGGGGTTCGTATTCCGCACGCACGCACCCCCCCCCCCCCCCCAAAGCTTCTACTGCTATAGGGGTGGGGGTGCGGGGGAAACGTGTGCCGTAATCACCTTCCCCTTGTGTACATCGTAAAAACAGACGCAACAACAAGACGAACCAGCGTCTGAGGTCGCAGCAACATCAATCAGGCAGGGGCAAGTTAACCGCCCTCCACAACCATACATGAAAGGTCGCGTGTTTTTGTACAACAAATCCAATGAGACACGCGATGGTATACATAGGTGGTGGTGAAAGCCTTAGGTTCCTGAACTCGAGATTCGCGTGTGCCTGTCCCAAAAACCTACAAAGCCATGGGGGCATACACACACACAGGTGGTGGGATAGACCTGAGGTTGCTGAACTCGGAGGCGTCCAGGTTTCCTTTCGCCGTTCCCGTCGTCGTGGCCCCCGACTGCAGCAGGTACCAGTTCTTCTCCTTCACGGTGACGGTTACGTCCGTCTGGTCCAGCGAACCGTCGTCGACGGCATCCATGGACACTTGAACGGACTCGAACAGCCCCAGTCCTTTATATAGATATTGAGGGAGGGGGCAGACCGGGGGAACAACGTACACAATGGAACTCTGAGGCGTTCTTGGATGAGGGCGTCGGGACGAGGAACAAAAGCGAAAATCGGACTAGCGTTTGAGACAGGTGCTGCTGTGCAGTGAGAAGAGGGAGGGGTGCGTTTCAGTTTTAACCGGGTGGAGACGATCTTTCGCCTGGGTTGCGTTTCTCAAGTTGGACGAGTTCTCGGAGGTACAAGGTCAAGTACATGCGGCTACGAAGCTGGCACAACCTTTCCATGAAGGCCTGAGTTCCGAACCCTCATCCCCTTCACTCTACATCCCTTTCTTGGTTTCCTCTTTGTCGGGACCTCACTCTCTCCTCTTCTCGATGGTCTTTCATGTTTCTTGCTGTACCCTCCGTTCTTCCACTTATCTCTCTTCAGCTATACTGGTAGTGGGCATGGGTCGTGGCCGAAATTGCATAAATTTTACCTCCTTCTCTACTGTACTACCCCCTGGGGCGGGGTGGAACCAGCGGACCACAGATGATATAGTTTTTGCTGGGTTCCTTTCTTTTTTATTGCCTTCCAAGGCCATGACGCAGCACAGAGGCAACCCAAGCCCCAAGCCAGCTGAAATAGCGCACTGAACCAGACGGGTCCAAGATGCGGTAGCACTCCAGTATCTCCAAATACCACAACACAAAACAATTGCCTTTGCCTCTCCTCCGTTGCACAACTTCCCCTCCCCTCACGCCCATGTACATGTAGGCTGCTTGCTGCCCCTGGGGCACTGTGCGTTCGGCTAGTGATATACCTAGCTGGAACAACTACCACCCTTTCCGCCTCCGCCGTTCAAAGAACATGCCAACCTTGACTCACTCACCATCGAGCCTTTGTGCTCCCTCCACCAGGCCGCCGTAGACATCGCCCACGGTCGTCGCCTCATAGGCGTCCTATCGAACAAAGTAGAGTCAAGTCAAGGCGGTCAGGGAACCCCGCCGAGACGTGTCAGAAGCCTTTCTGTCCGCCCGCATATAGATGTCTTCCCCGCCAACACCAACAATTGAAAAATGCAAAATGCAACAATAATCGTGCAGAAACACAGATTGGCTGCTGTGTTACCCACCCAATCTGTAGCTCTGCACGATGTTTGCGTACCATTTCTGCGTATCGTGTATTGCGTTAGATACCACACCCCCAGGGCCGATTTGCAAAACCCCGACTACATTGCAGCACAAGCAGTGACGGTGCCGAAAATAGAAGCAGCGGGGGAACCGTCTTATCGAGAGCTTTCCGAACACGTACCATTTGGGTTGTTGCATCTTGTTCGTCATGGAGTAATCGAGCATTGAACATTGGTCCAGGGGGGGTGGTATCTAATGCAACCCACGCCGTACTTTAGGCGTCGTCCTCCTGCTGAGTCGGAGGTGCTTCTGCAGCTTGTGAGGTGATCGCGGTTGTAGCAAGCCCCGGGCGACAGAACGAAAATAAGCAATCGTGGATACAGCAGCGGCTGGATTTGGACTGACGGCGCTGTTTTGCATTGTCGTGTGTGTTGTGCGCGGTTGTCGGTACACAGCGTCACACTCCTTCCCGTCCATGCGGAGAAACAGCCACAGAGTATATATTACTGTATGCATACTGCGCAACACAACAACAGCAGAAGCACAGTTCAGACCAGGACCAAGAGAGCAGCACGTGCAGTGAAGGTGAACGGACTTTGCGCACTTTCTTTGGGCGAGGCAAAAAAAAGCTCGTTGCGGACATCGCCCGAAATCGCAAACACACCGCCAGCGCTTACTTATGTGGCAATGTTTGCTCGGAGAGCATGCACGCAAGCGAACCTGGAGCTGATCTTCCACGACGTAGGGCTTCGTCCGGTTGTTTCCCACAATCTTGACTGTGCGCACCCTCAGCGGCAGCTCGTCTAGAGGGATTACCATGGTACCGGCCGCGTTGTTGAAAAAAACGCAAGAAGGTGCGCTCCCTCGTGTGGAATGTGTGTGTGCTCCGATTGTGCTGCCTCTCTGCTCTCACTGCTCTCTTGCCTCCATCGATAACTGGTTCTCCATCGGAGGTTCTAAATTTTGCGGGGGTGCCCGTTCGGAGGCCAAAAAGTTCACAAAAAACGCACCGCGTGGTTGGCCAGCTGGTTGGCGCCGCAGCAGCGCAGCAGTGCGCAGATTCAAGACCTCTCTCTCTCTCTCCCTCCCCCTCCTCCCCTCTCGAATCCGAGTCTCTAACTGTAAAAGGAGTCGAGAACCTCGGCGGATACTCATTTTGAGGTTGTCGAGCGCAGCCGGTTCGTTACTGTACAAGGTTTTGGGCGCTGCGCGCCCCCGCTTTATTTGAAGGATGTTATTAAAATGAAGGTAGGCGCCGATGGCAGGTAAAGTTTCCGTGAAGGTGGAGTTCCCATGATGGAGGTTCGTGTGTGATTTAAGGAGATGTAAAGGTCCATTATTTGTTTCCCATCGCCGTGCCCAGTACCCCTCCATTATCTGATACACATCCAGAACTCAGAACTGCAAAAAATAGACAAAATTGTCGGCTGAACTGCGAATGAATGAAGAAAGACCGCTTTATTTGAAGCGATTCCAAGGCAATGTTTTCTCTGAAAGTGGGTGTAGGATGTTGATAAAATGAAGGTAGGCACCGATGGCAGTTAAAGTTTCCGTGAAGGTGGAGTTCCCATGATGGAGGTTCGTGTGTGATTTAAGAGATGTAAAGGTCCATTATTTGTTTCCCATCGCCGTGCCCAGTACCCCTCCATTATCTGATACACATCCGGAACTCAGAACTGCAAAAAATAGACAAAATTGTCGGCTGAACTCGAATGAAGAAAGACAGCACTACCAGTTTAACGCACTACTTGTACTGCAAAAAAAGAATAGCACTACGAATGTAACGCACTTTTGAACTGCAAAAAAAGAATAAAGACAGCACGAAGAATTGGACACACTACTACTTGAATTCTGAACAAATGAAAAACTGAACTGAACTGACCTGGTGAAGGACCATGACACGTAAACCAAGAGACGTACCCCCAAAGGAAACAGTAAAATACGGACAACGTACGTAAAACATTCCACAATTCTATGGCATTGACCCAAACGTGGGTATTAAGGCTAGCGAGGCCCTTTAGCTTCTATCCAACCCCCCATCTTCGTGTTGGTTGGGTAAGTCTGGTTCTTCCGCTTCGCGGCAGGGGATGCTCGGGCGGGGGAGTCGTCGAAGAGATGGCGGCGAGACATGGAGTCGAAGACTACAGAAGGAGTGCGAAGTAACAGAAGGAGTGCGAAAAAGTAGCCGGAGTAGCTGCAGAGGAGTGGGTGGAGTGGGCCGGGGTAGCCATCGAGAGTGGAGGTAGAAAGGAGTGTATTTTCGTATTTTCCGGACCTTTAGAAGGGATTATCGGAACCGGAGCACTCAACACCGTTGCCGGAATCGGAACAAACAACAGACCATTCCGACGCACAGACACACACACACACCGAGAGGAGAGAGAGAGAGAATACGGTACCAAGGCGATAGGGGGTGAGTGCACACCGTGTGAAGGTGTTAGAAGAAAAAAAAAAATGTACAGCAGTAGCACACGGAATCGGAACAAACAACAGACCATTCCGACGAGAGAGCGGTCAAGAGAGAAAGCAAATGAAAAGAGAATGTGGATAGACAGACCGTCAGAGACATCGAGAGACGGAGGCACGGAGGAGAAGGAGGCACACACAGAGAGGGCCGTACTTCGAGTGGAATGCGTGGTATGATGGTACAGAGAGGGGTGACAGCAGCCGGCGAGAGAGATAAAAGCGGAAGACAAAAGTGGAAAGTCCACCAAAGTGCCAAATTTCCAGAGGAAATGCTGCTCTGTGAGAGCCCGCAGTAGCACACGGCAGCGGCACAAACAACAGACCATTCCGATGCGAGAGCGGTCAAGAGAGAAGGCGAAAATGAAAAGAGAATGTGGATAGACAGACCGTCAGAGACATAGAGAGACGGAGGAACGGAGGAGAAGGAGGCACACACAGAGGAGAGGGCCGTACTTCGAATGCGTGGTATGATGGTACAGAGCGGGGTGACAGCAGCAGGCGAGAGAGATAAAAGCGGAGGACAAAAGTGGAAAGTCCACCAAAGTGCCAAATTTCCAGAGGAAATGCTGCTCTGCGAGAGCCCGAGAAGGCCGGAATAGAGCGCTCACAGAAGCCGAAAGAGGCGAAATGAATTGTAAGAAGACTACTGTGTATCAACGCAATAGTCTTAGCGGCCGGCACACCAGTAGTCTCTGTAGACATCTAGTCTAGTCTACGCTTTCAGGTTTGTGATTGCGGTGTGAGAGGTCAAGACATCACTAAGCAACAAGTCTACGTGCAAAGATGCTAATGAACAGATACCAATGCAGTAGTCGGAGAGCCAAACGCTGGGGAGTTACACAGCAGAAGCAGAAAGCACGGCCAGCAGCTTTGGCCTCCCCATGCGCTCCTCGTCCAGCTGAAGAAAGTTCTTTGGCAATTAAAGGTTCGCCGTCGCCACCAGCGTGACGCCTGGCACTACCGAGCGACACCCAGCTGCTATTGCCAGTCCCGTGCACTTGCTTCTGGAAACTGGCCTCAAAGTGTCCCCCAACGGAAATCCGTCTTTGTCCAGATCTCACCAGTCTTGTTCTGTGTACTGTAGTAGTCCAACCACAAACCACGATATTGGTGACGTTTCCCCTTGTAATGGTATTTGACCCCTTCCTTCAGAAGCAATCACCTTTGAGCTGTGTGGAACTCTCTTGTCCGACGACAGTAGCAGGTTATTGTTGCTTTCCGTTGTTCTCTTTCTCTTGATTAACGCTTTCCAAGCCAACTCACAATATCCCACGCACACACGATCATGGATCGTCTGCACGCACACTGAACAGAAGGGCACATGCCTCTCGGCATAAAGCCCTGATCTAGCATGGCGTCACGTCTTAGCATCCGACGGCGCTAAATAACCATGGTCAACCACGATCACATGTCTATCTCCAAATATCATACCACCCTTCATGCGGTTGTTGAGGATCGCACAGGTCGATCCATCATCAATGCCTCGTCGCGTCGCGGTGTAGGCGTTTTACAATGAAACGAAAGCTACAAAGAGCCCTGAGCGACAATGGGCATTCAGTCGAGGCCTTGGTGGTGTGAAATGATGACGTCAACACTCACATCTCATCCATATCCCCAGGCTATACGCATCTTTTACACTCTCGAAAACTCGTCATCGGCCTCCGCAAAAACTCGTCTGAGAATCCCCTTGCCGTAAGCCATAGTCTATCTGCCCGATATAGCATGAGTTCTTGGGGTCCGATCTTCCCTCAACAACGTACGGTATAGCAATCGAACGAGACACGAGAAGAAGCGGTACGACCTCGAAAGCTTCTATGGTCACCTTGTGAGATTTTGGTACAACCGGCCCCAACACGCGGTCGCCCACCAGTGTTAGGGTGAGCGACCGAAAAACCTAGACGAACCCGGCCGCCAGACGCTCTGAGCCCCTCAAAACCTTGCAGAAAAACTCGGCAAAGCTCTCTTCGTCGTGAAACGGTAAGTGCACGAACAGCCACGACGGAAGCAACGACCTTGCTTCTCCTTCTTTCGCGCCCTCATCTCTGGTCTTAGACCGCTTCGTCATTTTCCCCTCCCCGCCCCCCCTCTGACCGCTCCTGCCCTGCCGACCCTTCGCGATGGTCGTTTCGACTGATTCGCTGACCTTTGCTGGTCGTGGCGGCACCTTGTTTTCGTCCGCATTGTTGCTGGACCCGCTGCCTCGCTGCTGTGCCGACTTCAGAAGGTGACGAACCACGATGGGGGACGGGCGTGTGGGGTACAGCGCACGGACCCTGGCGCAGGCAGCCTGCCGTCGGTTGATGGTTCCAGTCAGTCGGTGAATGAGGTATGGGGAGGCAGGAGAGCGAAGGGAAGCTCAAGAAGGAGGTCGACAGCATTGCAGCTGGTAGGAGGCCATCGGTTACTTGAATCAAATGGTTTGCATGATTTAGAGGGATTCCTTCATATAATAGTGCTTACCACTTCTAGAAGTTTAGCACTTTTACCCTCCGACGGAAAACTTCGGTAGACTTCAACACGCCCTCCAACCCGCTGTTTCTATCCCCTCCTGTACACACTGACACGATTCCGCCAGATCAAGACCACCAAGACTAGACGAAGCCCCAAGCGAGCAAAGGAACGAACTATCAATCCAAAGCGTCTCACGTTGTTGTACACCCAGGCCAGACTCTCGAACACCCTCCGAGTTGCGTCTCCGGTCCCAGCCCGCGCGGCCGCCAGGGCTTCGTCCTCGTCCTCGCCCTCGTTTATGTCTAACACTCGATCGAAGGCTTCAAGGAGAACGTCAGAAAGACTTTCGTCCGTGCAAAGCGCTGCTAGGGCATCCGCTGCTTCCGTTGCTCCTCTTCCCCCTCCTCCACCTTGTTTTTTGGAGGTGGTCTCGGCCTGTTCTTGCCACGCCGTGACGGCCCACCGCGGGGCCGCTCTTGGTCGTCCTGTGTCTGCTGGTGGCTCTGACAGCGGAGGCACATTCGCCTCGGTGGAGGGGGGTAGTGGCGATGCCGGTCTAGCTGATTTTGCTGCTGCGCCGGCATCACCATCGCTGCACCAGGCCGCCCACGAGGAGGCCGTGAAGAAGCGACTCCGCAGCAAGAGGCGGGCGCTAGGTCCCGCCCCCCTGGCCTCGCACCGCACCAGGACGCACGAGGGGGATCGATACGGACTGTCGATTTCGGGGACAAGGGCACCGTTTTCGATGCTGCCGTTTTCGTCGTGCCGGTCTGATGTAGAGCTGAGCGGCCGCGGCGGGGGCATGACTTTGTAGTCCGACGCAGCTGACGCCGGGTGAACGCCGCCAGGCTGTTGCTGCTGCGGGTCGTTGATCGTGTGGCTGTAGAAAAACCGCTGACTCAGCGCACCCGCGGGCTCGAATACCCTTCCATGGAGGGACGGGATGCCGTAGAACGGCCCGCAGACCGTCTATACCAGAAGGGCGTCGTAGGAAGTCATGCCGTGCGGAGCGTGGGTCAGGGAAGAGAACGGGGCAATGATGGAGGGAAGAGGCCCTTCGATTGTGAGTATCTGTTATCCTCAAGCCTACGGAAGTTCGTGCTTTTGATGGGCATCGTGATCGTTGCCACTTCCTGTATCCCCGCCAGTAACTACAGCGAAGAGTGCTTTCACAACCTCGTTGTCTTTCAGTTTCCAGACCGGATGGCCAAGGGTACTACACATTTGCGTACGTAAAACAACGTTCGATGCCGTCGGGAGAAAGGCAGCATAGCCAGATGGTTCGTTAGTGGCCGTACCTGTGTGATAGCAACAGACGACGCAGAATCGTTGATGACGGTTTCCAGCGGGTATTGTACACCTCCCCCGATCAGGGTAACCTGTTGTGTAATGTCGAGGCAATCACGCAGTAGTAAAGCAGGAAGTGTGCTTGAGTGTGCGGCTTCCACGTTTGCCCACGTTGGTGAACTAGTGGCGCTTGGGAGGAGAGAGGGAGATTTAATATTGTTCGGAATGGAAACGTGTTTGGTGCCAGAGCCGATGTGTAAGCGTTGACTAGTGCACGTGCAAGGTTGGCCTCTAGACTATCTGTACAGGGAGTAAAAGCTCTTCCTGAATCTTGTAGCATCCGAATCAACAACAACAATAACCAAAGCAATGGACCACCTCGCGAGGTTCTCCCCCGACTGCCCCAGCCGTCTTCCACTCTACCAGCATCCCCACCAACCGCAGAAGCTCGCCACCGTGAAACGGCCACGAGCGCCGCAGGTGAGCCTGTGCATTGCAACAAGACACGTCGAACAAGGCGTGGGTAGGTGTGAGACGGGTAACCGTCCAGGATTGGGTGTTTAAGGGCTTTGGGGGTTCTTTGCCGAGGGTAGGGCACCGCCGAACGGCAGCCAATGCGGGGTGGCGAGGCCATTGCACCAAGCCGGGGCAAGAGGGAGCATGCTCGGGACTCTCTGACCGTACGAAGCAAGTCCGAAACAACGTGAACAGAGTTTTGTGAGCGGGTTCTAGTGATCTGCGCTGGAGGGAAACATGCAGCCAAAGTGACCACGCACTTGCTGTTCGAGAGTACCATGGTTGGCAAGGAATTTTTTCGGGAGTCGTCGGATGTAACACATAGAGGGTCCCGACGGATTGCACAGCAAGCACAATTGAGTCAAACCGACGACCCTCACGTGCGACGGGTGTCGAGCCTTGGTCCGAGCATCTAGAATAGAGTCCGACACGAACGGCGCGTCGCCCACGACGACCATCGCCTGGATCTCCTCGATGCTAAGGGCTCGCGCCAGAGACGACCACTGCGTGTCGGAAAGAAGCGGGGCACGCTCGTCGCGCTTTCCGTTTGGGTAATAACGTGTAGGGAGGGGGGGAAGGGGGGGGGGGGGGGGG